CATTATAAACATAAAAATTGCTGAATTTTTTAGTTTGTCTCAACCAAATGTTGTAAAACTTATACACAACCGTTCTAGAGTTATGCGTCATTACAAATAGAAAAATTGCTGAATTTTTAGTTTCTGTTCTCTACTTAAGTTAGCCTCAACCAAATGTTATGAGACTTACACACAATGCTTATTACCACAAAACTCAGATCAAGTTCAAATTTGGGTAGTGTCACTTTTACCGTTCTTCAGTTATGTCCCTTTATAACTATATGATATACAAGCGGGGGCATCATCTGTGTCCACATGTGGACACTATCCACATTTATTTCTGTTTTAGTTTATGAAGAAATAACCTAAACAAGAGGCTCTCAAGAGCCTGAATCCCTCACCTGTAATTTTTTGCTTAAATCTTTTATCAATGATTATTTTTGCTTTTCAATTTATATTAATGAGTGGCTTAAAAAATGTTCTTTGTATCTGTCATATTTTCTTCAAAAGCAAAAAAATGCATTTTACCCATATGTTTCATTTTAGCCATAGTGGCCATGTTTCTTGACATACAAGGAAATAAAATACAAAATTTATACTAGATACTCTGAAACTCATTCAGCCCAAGTTTGGCTGAAATTGATTCAGCAGTTTCAAAGGAGAAGATTTTTTAAAGTAAGGCAAGCAAACTAGATGAACAAACTGTGAAAAATTGTCTTTTAAGGGCAATAACTCCTTAAGAGGTCAATTGACAATTTTGGTCATTAACCTTTTTATAGATCTTACTTCACTGAACATTTTTGCTGTTTACAGTTTATCTTTATCTTCAATAGTATTCAAGATAATAACCAAAAACTGCAAAATTTCCTTAAAATTACTAATCTAGTGGCAGCAATCCAACAATGGGTTGTTCAGTTCGTTGGAAAATTTCAGGACTGATAGATCTTGACCTATTAAACATTTTTACCCCATGTCAGATTTGCTCTATATCCTTTAGTTTTTGAGAAATAAACCAAAAACTGCATTTGACCCCTATGTTCTATTTTTAGCCATGGCGGCCATGTTTTTTGATGGATCAAAACTTTGGATACAATTTATTAACAAGATATTTTAAGGAACATTCAGTTGAAGTTTAGAAGTATTAGGCCCAGCAGTTTCAGAGGAGAAGATTTTTAAATGTTAGCAAACATGATGAACAAATTGTGTAAAATTGTCTTTAAAGAGCAACAACTCCTTAAGGGGTCAATTGACAATTTTGGTCTATTAACTTTTTTGTAGATCTTACTTTGCTGAACATTATTGCTGTTACAGTCTATCTCTATCTATAATAATATTCAAGATAATAACCAAAAACTGCAAAATTTCCTTAAAATTACCAATTTAGTGGCAGCAACCCAACAATGGGTTGTTCGGTTCTTCTGAAAATTTTAGGGCTGATAGATCTTGAGCTTTGAACATATTTACCCCTGTCAGATTTGCTTTAAATGCTTTAGTTTTTGAGATAGAAGCCAAAAACTGCATTTGACCCCTATGTTCTATTTTTAGCCATGACGGCCATGTTTGTCGATGGATCAAAACTTTGGATAAAATTTATAAACTAGATACCATAAGGAACATTCAATTAAAGTTTGAAGGTATTTGGTAGATTAAAGTCAAGCCCATTCCGAATACATTATTCTTGACCAATGGTAGCACTTGAACTCTTCAATTTGGAGGTAAAAACACGGTAGTGTCTAGATTCTACACACTTGGTAAAGCAGGAAACGAAAATATACGTTGACATTCATGCATTTGTGCAAGAAACATACACAGGAACTTCTATTAGTTGATTAAAAACATTCAAATTGTCACTAAATATAGTCGTATGTTTAGGGATGTAAAGACTTGTTGCACAATAAGCACATGGCAATTGTTTACATACACTTTCTACATTTACACGTGATCATGTTATAGGCGCTTTTTGATTGGATGCAGCGAGTTTCGACTGCAACCAATGAAAATCATTACCTTGTGTCTCCGAAATTCTATCTCAATCTGCCAAGGGTGGAGAGGAGGGAAGTGGATCGTAACCCTTGGCTAGCGAAGATGGTCTATGGGGAACCGCTAGTGATAGGTCAATGATATTTGGTATGCAGTTGTATAAGCATTTGCATATCTCATTTCCATGGAGATTATTTGGCCCCGCCCCCTCATTCATGGTCTATTGACTGTGAAACTTTTGCTTAGTTTTCATGTATTAGTTTGTGATTAGGTCAGTTTATGGGGAACCATTAGTGATAGGTCAATGATATTTGGTATGCAGTTGTATAAGCATTGGCATATCTCATTTCCATGGAGATTATTTGGCCCCGCCCCCTCATTCATGGTCTATTGACTTTGAAACTTTTACATAGTTTACAAGTTAATGTTTGTGTTTAGGTTTGTTTAAAGGGAACGACTTACAAAAAGTCAATTGTATTTGGTTTACAGTTGTATAAACATTGGCACATCTCATTTCCATGGATATTGTTTAGCCCTGTACCTTAGTCATGGTTCATTGACTTTAAATATTTGCATAACTTACATGTTAAAGTATTGCTATTTTAATTTCAACATTTGCATTATCAAAATAACAAACAGGCAAGACATATCTCTGTGTTAACAGTTTATTATTAAAGGATATATTTCATTACATTACATTGTGTAGATAAAATTGTTGACATTGATAGATAAGTTGCAGATCTATATTAGTTTGTGACAAATGAAAGAAAAAATATTAGGAACTATTAATTCTATAAATTTTGATGACATTAGGTGTTTTTAAATAATTTTCACCTGCTATCAGATAACAAAGCAACTGGTAAATATCTTATCACACAATTATAGACTATTTTCATATTACCGACTTTTGACTCCGGATTATATAATTTGTCGACTGGTTACCTTGGACATCATCTGAAAACAGTAAATTTTCCCCTCAAATTACACCGATTATATGTTTGATTTTACTTATTTTGGTTGCTCTTACTTGACCGATGTCCAAGGTAACCAGTCGACAAAGTATATAATCCGGAGTTTCATATTACCGACTTTTGACTCCGGGTTATATACTTTGTCGACTGGTTACCTTGGACATCATGGTACTCGGTCAAGTAAGAGCAACCAAAATAAGTAAAATCAAACATATAATTGGTGTAATTTGAGGGGAAAATTTACTGTTTTCCGATGATTTTGTAGTGAAAAAAAAATATTAACCAGGTAATTTTCCCCCAAAAGTGTACCGATTGAAAGCTTGGTTTTACTTCTTTAGCTTGCTCTTACCTGACTTGGTACCATGATGTCCAAGGTAACCAGTCGACAAATTATATAATCCGGAGTCAAAAAAGTCGGTAATATGAAAATAGTCTAAGAGTGACAGATTTATTTGAAAATTTTCTGTTTCCTAAGTGTTGATGATGATAAGATCTGTAGGATGTTATAAATAAAGTTTGAAATTTACTGTTCAGTATTAGACATTTTGAAGATAATTACAGATAAGTTTTATAGATTTTTAATAGATATTGTATTAATGATAAATGACATTTTGGATTGTTTTTCTTCTTTTCTTTGGTAAATTGTTTGAAGAATTTTGTGGTAGGTTTGTTTTGTTATTCTGTATAAACTTATTTTCTGAATGCTATATATTTTTTTTGATGAAGCGAATTCCTTTAAAAACTAAGCTTGGTTTGTCTATTAATAAACATATATTTAGATTTCTGATTTTGGGCCCAGTTTTCAAGTTGGTCCAAATCGGGGTCCAAAATTATGCTGTGTTTGATTTCAACATAAATTGAATATATATAGGGTTCTTTGAAATGCTGAATCTAAACCTGTATTTATTTTCATTATTAATTAAATAATACCACATTGAGGTCCAAAGGGTCCTTAATTAAACTTTTGTTTGATTTCATCAAAAATTGAATTCTTGGGGTTCTTTGATCATGTTGATATGCTGATTCTATAACAATGTACTTAGATTTTGGAAAATGGACCATAATAGGTAAATTTCCGATTTCAAATTTTTCAGTTCTTTGACCACATTCATTTTGTGTCACAAACCTATGCCAGTGGCGGATCCAGAACTTTTCATAAGGGGAGCCCGCTGACTGACCTAAGGGAGAGCCCGCTCCAGTCATGCTTCAGTGATTCCCTATATAATCAACCAAATTTTCCCCACAAAAGATGGGCACAGCCCCCCCCCCCCCCCCCCCCCCTGGATCCGCCTATGTATGCTGTGTCAAATATTCAATCACAATCCAAATTCAGAGCTGATTTAAGCTTAAATGTTGTGTCCATACTTGCTCAACTGTTCAGGCTTTGACCTTTGCAGGAAAATCCAGTTTGCTGTCACTCTGACAGTCTCTTGCATTGTTAAGGAGAAAATCAGGAAAAACGTTGATGACGTCACGGTCACATGATAAAATTATGTCTATGAGCTGATAGACAAAAAACTTTCAGCCAATCAGAAGTCGTGTTACATCCAAAATTAAAATTATTTTCTTTTAATGAAAAAGAAAATAGTGTTACCTTCCTATAAATAAATGTACAAAAATGCAAGTGTTCCTTAGAATGCCCCCAGGCATTTCAAATACATCTAGTAAAAGATTGAAGTTCAATGTTATAAGTCATGTAACTTCATGTTTTTGTTTTGGGTTTTGCTTGAAAGGAATAGATGAATTGGAACTGTAAGTCTGTCGTACAAGTGGGGCCTTGGATGTTTGTGGTACTGTCAAATCTGGACTAACACCTACAATGTACTAATATATTTAGAAAGTGCATGTACCAAATCAGGATCATTAGTTTGTGACAGTCAGTGTTCATTTCAAGGATTTATCTGGATATTTTTGGGTTTGGTCATATTTGAAAAGTTTTAAGCAAATTTTGTCATAATAAATAAAATCATGTCTTAAATGGTTTAGGAAAGCATGATGCATTGTTATGATGTTGTCATTTTGTGTATTTAAAAAAAATATGAATTGCTTTTATGTATATTTATTTTTAAGGAAAATGTCTAGAAACTGGATTGATAGAGGTGAACAGATGAGATATAGTGGTAGATACCCAATCAATGAAATGTGGAATACCAGACAGGCTTTGATGAATGATTTGAGAAGAAACTTAACTCTAAATAAATATTTGACATCTATTGAAAGAAAATGTTCCGATTTTGTTTTTGAAAAAAGAAACAGCAGATCAAATTATTCAAATTGGAAACAATCAGCTCCGTGCACAGTTGGAAAAGACACTACAGACAAAGTATTGGAAGACAAATCACGAGAAAGAAGGGGGGAACCAGAAGATTCATCTGGTTACTTTAATGATGATCCAAATGTTGACATATCTTTAGACGTTGAAAATGAAACTTCTACAGCAAAACCAATAAATGCTGAATTTATTATTAAAGAAGAACCTTCCTCTGAAAATTTTGCTATTAATACAGAGTACAGTGAATTCAATATTAATTTGCCAGGAAATTTGCAAAAGAATCAAGCAGATCAAATTGAAAGCCAGACAGAAGAATCAAATCTATTTCAGATTCAAAATTTAAGCATAGAAGTCAAATCTGAAGAAAATTATGAGACTGAACAAACTATTAATACAAAAGATGTTGAGGACTGTGTCACAGAAGAAAATCCTTTTGACTTTCAAGAGATTTCTGCAACAAAATGTGATGAAAATGACTCAGGCTTAGATAAGAAGTCTGAAAGTGGTGCAAAGACAAAGAATTGCAAAGAAAAATCTATTACTTACAAAGATTTTGTAAGGTCAGTTTCAAAATTAGTAAGTGATAGTGAATCATCTAAATCGGAGAAAATACAACATTCAGATAAAAATTGTGGTAAGCTTAAAAAGACAAAAAAAATGAAATCTCCGAACTCGAAAAAAGATAGTGATGTTGACAAAACAATTAGGAGTACTCGAAGTTCAATAAAGTGTAAAAAGGTTCATAATGTAGAAAAGAAAAGAACAAAGAAAGAAGAAGAAAAGAAAGTCAGAAATAAAACTGAAGTGATAGCTATTACAAATACTCTCAAACAGAACAAACAGAAAACAAAATCAAAGAGTAGGTATTCTACTAGATCTCAAAGAAAGGAAAAAGAATCTGAAGAAGAAAGTGTGTATGAGGAGCCTTCTGCATCAAGATCAAAGCAAAAAGAATATCATAAAAGAAAGATTGTATATCCTGCAGATGAGGACATTCCACTTGCAAAATACACAAAGTTATTACATCACAATGAAGAAACTAAAGTAAAAGACTCATTTAAAGGAGCTACTGATTTTGACAAGGCCATTTGTTACTCACCTGATAGTTGTGTTCATTCTGATAATAAAACTGAAGAGGACATTAATAAGTCTAAAACAAACCAGATAGATAAATTTGACTCAGAATTAAGGGATAGAAAGATGAAAAAAGAAAGTACTCTTCAGACACGTTTGATCCTGATAAATGATTCTGATTCTGATAAACAACAGAACACCACAAACCAAACTGCTAGTCGTGAGTTAGACTGTTTAAACAATAACACAGATTTAAAACAAGAAAAGTCAAGCAGTCAACATGTTGATGGTGACGAAACTTGGTCATCGTCACATGAAAATGAGCAATTGTGGGAATATTTAAAATGTGATTTTTGCGATTTCATGGTCAGTAAGAAAAAGGAACAAAGTTATCAATTGATGGAGGAGCATTTAGAAAGTACAAAACATAACGCTGCTAGTATTGTTAAAATCAGCATTTCAGATGGTGAATTGAAGCCAGTCTTTGTTAAAAAGGAACATGCAATCCTACTGTCTTTAGAAAAAGCTACTGTTTTACCGTATTGTCCTACATGTTTTACTATTATGCCCTCTATCTGGACTGTACAGTTGCATGCTAAATACAAACATAGTGAAAGTAGCAATTATGATAAAGACAAATATTGTCTCGGTAAAATAGACAATGTGGTGAATATCCCTATTCCAAGAAAAATTAATGTTTGTAAGAAATGTGGACTAAAAAAAAATAATATTCAAGAACACTGGGAAACCCACAATCATTTTCCATATGATCTACCATCAAGCAATCAAATAGCACAGTTTTCTTGTAGTGCATGCAATCGATATTTTGATTCATTCTCCTCAGCTCTCAGTCATGCAGTTGCCCATGAAAAACATGATAAATTGCAAAATGATGGTGTAATCATTACTTATATCACAAAATCAGAGCAGGTATTAACTTTGCTGCCTAGAGAAAAAACACTTTCTAATGGAAGGGCTTTGGAAATCTTAAACCAGGCTAAGTTAGCAAACAAACAAGGACAGTGGACTAGAGCACAAAGAAAAGAATTTGAAATGATGGCAGTTGATTGGAAGCGCTGTTTTAAACAGTATTAAGAAATTTATTTGTTACAACATGTTATAAAATGTTTTGGTGTTTTATTTCTAGTCTAGTCAAAACTTGGGCCTGTATAATTTGCACTCCTCATAATTTTCCACTCTCATTGCAATCATACCTGTACTTAAATCATGCACATCTACTTTTACGTCACATTGTGTCAGCTGTGTTTCAGTTAATTGTAAACACTTAAAGCTTCTAACATGTATGAACCACTAACAAATTACCAAACAAAATGAATGGATGTCTTTTCTCAAACCTTGAAAGGGAAAGGTTTCCATGGAAGCAAGTAAGGGGGTTGTAGGGCAAAATCCATCAATTTAAATACAATCACTGATCATGAGAATAATTTTATAATTTTATGATCTGAAAAGTGGAAATTCATAATGTAGAAAAGAATGTGGTTTTATGTTACTATAAGTATTTAAACTGCATTTTGTCTATAGAATCAACTAGTACTGTTGGGGAACATCATAAACATCCTGGTATGAAAATTTCTCATCAGTTTTAATGAAATGTACAGTCGAAGTTGACATCAGCAATATGACAGACAAGTTTAAAATTCAACACTGATAGATTATTTTTCATATAGATTAAATGGAAAATAAACACTCTAATGGTTTTTGCACCTTAATTTCTCATGTAAGTTAAATGAAATTTGTGTCAAAGGAGGTTTAATTGACATCAACAATATTGCCAATCACTTTGAAAATTAGTGCCAAGCAATGATTTGTATTGGAAAAACGTAAATATTTAAAATCAACAATGTAATTACTGTCACACCTATTTTCTAAGTTGAGTTTTTTTGATAATATGATTTGGTATGTAGGGGAAGTTTTATGAAGGCATCTTAAAGGTTGTCTCTTGTCCTTGACCTTATTTTCAGGCTCCAGTGGTCATGTTAAGATTTTTTGATTAACTATGATTGCGTATTATTAACAGTTAGCATTGATTTATCCTAGAGTGGTCAGTTAAGGTTTTTGGCTTTAACCTTTTGTCTCAGTGATTGCACAGCAGGTCACAATATCTGTATACTGGTCACACAGAAATGTCCATAGGAAGACAGATCACCGCACTTAGGCAAATTATCTCAACTCCCAGCCAAGCAGACTATGCCCTTTTTACTAAATGTAGCAAATATCAGATCAAATCAACAATCTCCTGCACTCAGGCCAGGTAACAGTCATTCATATTCATCAAATCAAAAGCATTATTTAAAGTTGACAAAACAATAACATAAGCTCTTTGAGCTTTTATGACCAACAAATACATACATATACACACCTATGGTGTATATGTGCATATCACATCTTGTCCTGATATGCGTGTAATATTTCCCACTGAATGTTAACACCAATCTATCCATCTTTGGTCTTTGAGGATCAAATGTTTTCTCTTTTGCAGTTCTTTTTTATAAGTCAACTCAGTCAAAATGATATGAATGGTTTTTATACGACCGCAAAAAAATTTTGTGGTCGTATATTGGTATCACGTCGTCATCAACGTCGTCGTCCGAAGACACTTGGTTTCCAGACAATAACTTTAGTATTAGTAAACAGAAATCTATGAAATTTAAACTCAAGGTTTATAACCACAAAAGGAAGGTTGGGATTGATTTTGGGGGTTATGGTCCTAACAGTTTAGGAATTAGGGGCCAAAAAAGGGGCCCAAATAAGCATTTTTCTAGTTTTCAGACAATAACTTGTGGAACGGTGTATGGATCTCTCTGAAATTGTACAACAAGTTTCCATACCACAAAGGGATGGTTAGGATTGGCTTTGGGGGGTAATGGCTCAAACCGTTTAGGAATTTGGGGCAAAAAAGGGGGAAAACAAGGGTTTCCTTGTTAATGGACAATCACCTAAGTACAATGTTAAATTTGGATTACCTCCCTTACACTGCTTTAAAATTATGTATTGTCTTGAGGTGATTAGCTGTCAATTTAGTTTTAGAAGTTACTAATAAAAATGCTGATTAAAGATATATTATTTTTAGACATGATAATGTATGTCATTTTCTATTTTAAGACTTTTATGATGTATTTAAATGGGTAATTATGATTGCAAACTCCATTGGAAATTTGAATTGAGATAATGACCATATCTTGAGGGAAAGATTTTTTTTTTGGAAAAAGGGGAGGTGAAAAAAAATTGGGTGGGGGGGGGGGGGGCAGTTGAAAAAGAAATTGTGGGGGGGGGGGGATTTTTTTTTCTCATTACAGATATCAGAAATTAAAAAGAAAATTTCTTCAAATTTTTTTTTTTTTTCAAAAAAAAGGGGTGGGGTGAGAAAAAAAATTTGCCAAACAAGGGGGTGAAATTTTTTTTTTTTTTTGGGGGGGGGCAATTCGCAACAGCATAGTTAATTGCACAGATGCAAAAAATTGAATTTAAATTCAAATCATATAACCAATTCTAAGTTCTTTGACTACAGTTATTCTGTGTCAGAAACCTTTTATGTGTCAAACATTTAATTTCAATCCAAATTCAGACCTGTATCAAGCACGAATATTGTGTCCATTTTTGCCCCAACTGTTCAGGGTTGGACCTCTGCGGTCGTATCCAGCTGCGCTCGGCGGAGCATTTATTAATTATGGGTAGTTGAATAAGGGATTGTATCGGAGTGGATAAATTAACCCAAAACAACTTGAGTAAGACCAGCTTATTAGTGTTGAGTATGTGGTATAACAATAGAAAATTGAATGTTCAGTGCAAACAATGAAAAAACAAATCTAAATCCTGTACCAAAGTGCCTGTGTGATTAAGCAATCCAGTTTGACAGAGATGATTATAGGAATGTCTTTTTAAACTAGTGTCCAACCTTCCATCCCGGTCTCCAATTCTTTGCAGAACCGATCTATTTGATTTATTTTTATTTGTTATCGTCCTTTATATGCATGAATTATTCTCCAGTGGACTTAAAGTCTTTAAGCAAACAACAACAATCTTTCACATGGCTTAGGAGTTAATACATGCTGATAGGTTATTCAAAATGAATTTGATGGCCAATGATGCGTTCTAAACAACCTGAATGATAATTTATATTAGCTTTTATCTTTGAAATCCATGTGAACAGGGAAATGCAAAAAGTAATCATTTCAAAGGAAAATTATAATTCCGTACTCCATAGATGATGGACAATAAAAAAAAACAAAAAAATAAGGTAACATAAAGCACATGTTCTCCAACAAACTATAAAAATCACAAAAAATATGAAAAAAAACTCGCGTGATCTAAAATACTATATATCCTTCCCACCCTTTTATTTAGTAAACTACCATTTAACCTGAAAAAGTGGATTATGGCATTTTTCTTGTTCAAAATATTGACAGTAAACGATAATCTGGTATAAAGAAGAGCAACAGGATTTAGCGTAAAATGTAATATACTAGCTGAATAGAACTTCGTCTGATTGCGTTCATCAACGAAATAACACTCCTCGAATCCCCAAAACATATACCGTGATAATAAGGTCATTCCCGTCATAATAGTATATCTATTGAACGAAAGATTCTTTTCCCACCGTAATTTAGCATGGTAATAATTAATATTTATTATTGATAACATGTATGACACGTATTCGTATTCGTATTCCGAGTCGGACACCAATTGCAAAGAGGTTTACACTGAGACTACTATGTGTTGAAGTAGTCTTAGGTTTACGGAATCCTAGCAAGGTGTGCATGTCTGTCAACGGGACTAACTTGACTTTGACCACATTTCATGATTCTGTCACCAACCTTAAGTTTTCGTGATGAGGTCAGTTTCTTAAGATTCCATAAGTAATAGGTGAAATGTAATCTTTAGAATTATTGTAAAATTGTACAAAGTCACTTTTTATCTCAAATTTAGCTTGCCTTGAAAAAGACTGTGACCAGGTGGGCTATTGCTCCACATATCAGTCGACCTTCAACAAATGAGCAAAATCCATACCGTATAGTAAGCATCCGGCATGACAAAATGTAGAACAATTCAAAAGAGAAAACCAACGGCTTGATTTATGGTTAATCTTTTAGCGAAAAACAAATTGCTAGTATTGCAGACAGCAACAAACGACAGCCAATGAAAAACAGGCACACAAAGAATGTGACGGTGTTGCACATATTTCGTTGTGTGAATCATATATAAATTAATGATGTAATTTCCATTTGGTAATAGTTCTCAAAATTGAAATTAAAGTTTAAAAACCCACTATAAAATATTCTTCTATGAACTAACTACATGAATAATTATAAAAAGATATGGTATGATTGCCAATGAGACAACTCTCCACAAGAGACCAAATGACCCAGACATTAACAGCTATAGGTCACCTTACGGCCTTCAACAATGAGTAAAGCCCATACCGCATAGTCAGCTATAAAAGGCCCCGAAATGACAAATGTAAAACAATTCAACGAGAAAACTAACGGCTTAATTTATGAACAAAATAATGAACGAAAAACGAATATGTAACACAGCAGCAAACGACACCAAGCCTTTATAATCCAACGGGAGTGGAGAAAGAACAGTGTAGTTATGACAAAAACTCGTAGAGTGCAGAAATCTCGTATAATAATTGTATACGGAGCCTAGACCATTGCACTTGGATCTCAAACATATAGCTATCTTCATTTCTATCAAAAGTGGACATATAACACTATAAGATTCATACGACGATTTGTATACAAGCCGGTTGTTTTTGCGTTGTGATGTTTTCTCGAATTCGCAGTTTCGCCTTTGAAAAATGACAAACGCGACAATGCAAAATTGGCCGCATCCTGTTTCCATATATTTGTGAGCAATCATCCTCCCCTAACCTAGGACAGTGGTGTAACAACACAATATAGGAAGAAACTGTAAAAATCAGTTGAAGAGGGCTTGACTCATCAGATCGGTACAAAGAACGAAAAAAACCTTACCAAAAAGCTTAAAGACACGGTATAAAGAACGAAAAAACCTTACCAAAAAGCTTAAAGACACGGTACAAAGAACGAAAAAACCTTACCAAAAAGCTTAAAGACACAGAGTATACTGATCTAAGAGTACTTGCAATTACCGAAAGCTAATTCAAAGCCAATTTCAACAAATAAACAATATTTTCCTCAGACGAAAATATCTTCTACTCTGAAACCACTGAAATTTACACAAACCTTGACCTGAATAACAATTAAGGTAACTATTATTAGGTTTGCATTTTTTTCGCCAAATAATCAACATGGTCGCCATAGCTTAAGTAAAACACAGCCGTTACAAAATCTAATTTAAAAAAAAGATAGTAGATGGAGAAAATCTAACACCGACAAATAACCTAGAATGTCAAAGAAGATGTGGTATGGTTGCCAATGAGACAACTCTTCACCAGAGACCAAATGACATCGAAATTAACAACTATAGGTCACCATACGGCTTCAACAATGAGCAAAACCTATACCGCATAGTCAGCTATTAAAGGCCCCGAAATTACAAATGTAAAACAATTCAAACGAGAAAACTACATGTCCATTTCAACCAAAACTTTCAATTAATAACGATTTTTTTACCAATATTAGTTATCTATGTTTTACTTATTGTCTTGAAAACTATAACAAGTAGGCAGAAACTTGGGCGAGCAAAAATATTACCAATACTAGATCTTTCGTAATATAGAAATAAGAAGATGTGGTATGAGTGCCAAATGAGACAACTCGCCATCCAAGTCACAATGTGTAAAAAGTAAACAATTATAGGTCAAAGTACGGCATTTAACACGGAGCCTTGGCTCACACCGAACAGCAATATATAAAGGGCCCAAATAGGACTAGTGTAAAACAATTCAAACAAGAAAACCAACGGTCTAATCTATATAAAAAACGAGAAACGAGAAACACTTATGAACCACATCAACAAACGACAACCACTGAACAACAGGTTCCTGACTTAGGACAGGTGCAAACAAATGCAGCGGGTTTAAACGTTTTACAGCAGAATGCATTGAGTGTGTAGGTAAAGGTAGAATCTTTGGTTAGCTTGCTTGTTAGCTGAACCGTGAAGTCATTATTAGGTTATGTATACTACCCTCCTTTCGGAGTAGTATAGTCCTACAGACAGATAGATTGGTTATCGCTCGGACTAGTCTACTCTTAAAGGAGGGTAGTTTACCTAACCTAATAATGACTTCACGGTTCAGCTAACAAACAAGCTAACCAAATATATTACCTTTAACTACACACTCAATGCATTCTGCCGTAAGGTATACAACCACTAATTCATAGCCCCATTGCTTTCTATGTTAAATTCTGCAATTTCAAGCATAAATGGCTACTTTGTTTTAAGTTCAAATAAAGTGGTACTTATTTCATGTCAGTACCTTATGCTGACTTGTGCTGAAAAAATCAACATACCTTTAATTGCATATTAGAGCGTACTGGTTCCTGGAAGTTTGATAGTACAAAAACAGGAAATCCTGATCTGAACAACAGGCCAAATGAGCCCTCCTATTAAAATTTCATATACTTCTTTATTATTCAAATAAAACTTTCAACAAGGGTTCTACAGTGATCCCAAGTCCCCAAGCTTTCATTTGATACTAAAACTACCCAAATATTCCCACTATTGACAAAGATACAGCTATGCGTAGGAACTATTTTGTTTCAAATATGTACTACTTTCTTGTATGTTTTTTCCGACCGGGCCTGAATTAGTGGTTCTATACCTTAACAGGCGCCAACCTTCGTCCTAATCTGAAATAGTAGTGTAACATTACAACATAGAAAGACACACTATAAAATATCAATTGAAATGGCTTAACTCAATCAAAAAGACATATTAACAAAAACAAGTACACATACACTAAACGAATAAATTTGATCTATGACACAATATAAACACAATATTAAATAAAAAAGGGGAGATGTAAAACAATGTCAACAAGACAACTATAACATTGGACAAAATGGCGTTAAATAAAATAACGTACACAGGTAAATTTAAATATAATAATTTTGTTGTTAGGAGTACGGAAATATTTTTTTAGAAATAATGCCTAAACGATTGAAATTTTCAGTTTATTTTTTATATAGCAGTCTACATTTTTTTACCAATTTTAGAGTCTTTGACAAACAGAAACTGAAAACAGCAAAAATGGTCAGCAGTAATACAATATAAGATCTACAAAAATGCAAATAGAACTGAAACAATCAATTGACTGCTTATAATGGTTCTTTACCTGATATTGCATGTTTTACTGCTTAAGTGGTTTTTTCTTAGTATCTTGAAAACCATTGAAAAAAGAAGCAGAAGAAAATAAAGGGACAAAAAAATTACGAAGAAAAACCGACACTGAGGTCCATTGCAAACAACGAAAAATGACGAAAAAAAAACGACACTAAGGTCCATTGCAAACAACGAAAAATGACGCCCGTATCTTAATAATAGATAGATGGAAACTATAAACTACAGAAATAAAAGAGGGACGAAAGATACCAGAGGGACAGTCAAACTCATAGATCGAAAACAAACTGACAACGCCATGGCCACAAATAAAAAGACAAACAGACAAATAATAGTACAGATGACACAACATAGAAAACTACAATCAATTGACTGCTTATAATGGTTCTTTACCTGATATTGCATGTTTTACTGCTTAAGTGGTTTTTTTCTTAGTATCTTGAAAACCATTGAAAAAAGAAGCAGGAGAAAATAAAGGGACAAAAAAATGACGAAGAAAAACCGACACTGAGGTCTATTGCAAACAACGAAAAATGTCGAAAAAAAACGACACTAATGCTGCGTTCACGCGTAATTCGAATTCGATTCGCATTAACTAATTCGAATTAGTTTAATTCGCATTCGAAACGTTTTACGTCCAAACGTAAATTCTAATTCGAATTGCAATGCGTGTCAAATTCGCTTTACTGTCCAAACGACGTTAACTTTTAATTCGTATTAACAAAAACGCATTTCTAATGCGAATTAGATAATGCGATTTAGTTAATTCGAATCAATTCGAATTAAAAACGAAGAGTGTGTGAACGCGATAAGCGAATTCGATTCGCATTCTATTCGAATTCAATTTGAATTAAATGAACGTGTGAACGAGGCATAAGGTCCATTGCAAACAACGAAAAATGACGCCCGTGTCTTAATAATAGATAGATGGAAACTATAAACTACAGAAATAAAAGAGGGACGAAAGATACCAGAGGGACAGTCAAACTCATAGATCGAAAACAAACTGACAACGCCATGGCCAAAAATAAAAAGACAAACAGACAAATAATAGTACAGATGACACAACATAGAAAACTAAAGACTAAGCAACACGAACCTCACCAAATAATCGTCAATAAAAGATGTACAAGAATATCAAATGATTTGAACCATCAATCGACTCTTAGTGGAAGTTGTTGCCGTTGATTGAAATTTCGACCAATTTTATTATCTAGAAATATGTAATCTGTGTTAACAGCAAAAATGATCAATAATACTGGAGCAGCAATGCAAGATCTTAAAAGATAAAACTTATGAAATACTAAAATCTGAAAGTTCATGC